TGTTGACTGATGTCCCTTTCCCTTCCAGTAAGCCTTTCTGGCCAATTTCACTGTCTGCCAATGTGGTAACAGACAGAAAAGAGGGTCATAAAATTCATCCCTTCAGCAATTCTTTCACTGAGTGTCCTTTTGGCTGCTCTTTCTTATGCAACAAAATCCAAACTTGTTCTTTCAGCTACACCGCTGTTGTATCTGCCACTGAGCAACAACTGACAGTTGTATGGGGAAAATGAGCACCCTTGCAGTCAAACCATGTTTCCCAAAACAAAATGGAACTTGCAGGATGGGAAATCTGCTACCTTCCCAGCAGCACAAACTGGAAGCAATCACAGCACAAACACAACCACAGCTGTTCAGCAGCCAGGAAAACATATATATCGGACATGTCAAACCAAGGCCTGAGCGTTCATTGTCTATGCCTAGCTTGTTCCTCTCGGCCTCAATATTTCATGTTTTTGCCTGTCAGGTCTCTGGACACTGTAACACTCATGCAACATTGTAGCTGCAAAGATCATCTGATTTCAACTGAGTCTCTCTTCTCAGTAGGATGAACTGCTTTTGGCTTTTCCAAATCCCCTCAAGTGGTCTATCGTTCTCCTCAGTGCCATGGAGAAAGCTCTAACTGCAATTGTTCCTTCCCTCCAAAAGGCTCTCCCCTGTGTGGACTCCTAGAAATTGGTCATTTCAGTTACTGATGCACTGAGACCAACTGCTGTTTGGTGCTTTCTAGTTACCTCCATCTGCATCTCCAACTTCTATCCCTGCCCCTTGTCTTCTACTTCTCTGCAGAAAAGATAGCCTTTTCATTCTGTGCTTGTGCTATGCTTTACAAAACTGAGCTCTATCAAATAGGCACCCCGAGGTGTCACTGTCCTTGCTGTTCAAGTTCTGCACTTGTGTGTTTGGTTCTCATTTGGATTATACTGCAGGCTGGAATAAAAACTGAAGAGTAAGGGACTTTTGGAGAAATGGTTAAACGCCTGCCATATTCAGATCAAGGCAGAAAAAGGCTGAATGGCTTCGCTGAACTGGTCACAGATATGCAATCTAGTTTCATCGGGTTTAAGAGAGAAGGGACTATACAGATTTCTGTTGACAGCTCCTCTAACCTTTCACGCAACCTGTGATATTTCGTAGTTTCTCTGAAGCCACAGCTCCTGCAATCCTATAATTACAGCCAAATCCAAGATTTCTTTTCTTGATAAAAGAAGTTTCTTAACCTGCATGGCAAGGAGGAAAAGTTTAAATAATGAAGATAAACTCTCAAAAGCCAGAAGCCATATTAAAAAAAAACCGCTCAGTAAATCGAGATTTTTGAGCTAAATAACATTCTTTTTAGAAGAGGCATCTTTCGCAGATATTTTCCTATAGTAGTGCAAAACCAAATGCAGCAGCCTCTTCTTTCGGGGGTGGGGGGGAGAGAAGGGGTCTCCCCAGGGTATGCAAGCGCCTGCATCTGTGTGCCATGTGGGACAGGACCATTCAGCCTTTTGCCCAGTAACACCATGCATTTACCATCTCCTCCTTGCTTGGAAAAAAGGCCCACAAAAGCTCTGAGCCAAGCTCTTCTCCCACCTGTACCTGCCCTTCTGAATCTATTTTTGAGCTAAACCCTTGAGCACGTAACTAAGCACCTTGACTAGGCTAGGATCCAAACACGCAAACATACTTAAACTCTGTTAGAGGAAACTAAGACTATTCTTGCTAGGCATTTGCACAACTAACTGGCCAGTGCAGAGAGCTACTGCTTGGTAACTCACAGGCAACCTGGGTGATTCCGGCTCTTCAGGAACAACGCTGACTCAGAGATCGGGGCCTTGGCAATTCTCAGAGTGCGCAGCCACAGGGCAGTGTACAGAGGTTGTTCACAGACAGTAGTTTCAAGAAGTTGTGTCTATCTCCTACATAGAGGAACAAGGGATGCAAGGAGCCCTGCCACAGTCACAAACCTGTCAGTCTTAACTGACTGTGCTCTATGCATCTCTATAACAGAAACAAGAATACTGTTTACCCAGTAGCCCCCCAGCCACTCATGGGACTCTCTCTTTTCCACAGCCTCCTTTTTGGTTGCTGCAGTGGCAAAGGTGGCTTTAAATTTTCTGCTCCTGTTGCAAACAAATGACAAAATACACCTGATTTTTTTGCCTTTTGCTCCTAGTCTACTTCAACATTGAGCACAAAATCAGTGCAAGCCAGTCCTACGAGGAGAAGAAGCTGTAAAGAAATGGATACAGACTGTGGGAGAAGGCAGAAGGCCCTGAACTGGTAAGTGTTTAGCCAGTGAGTTCAGGCATGACTAGCCGGGAAAAAAAATATTCTTCTTGAGAAGACTACCTCTGTTTTTTTCATCTCATTAAATGGAAGGAATCAATTCATTACATTGAAGTTTTCTAACAGATAAAAGTTCTACCAGTGTTTTGAAATTATGTCTTTGTTCTAAATTGTTAACTGCCATCAAAACGTAAAGCTGCAGAATATATGGTGAACTACAGACCAGCAGACTTATTCCTCTAGGATATTTGGCAAAACCCTCAAATATCTACAGAAGTCATTTGCTTTTTGAGATGAAATCTCTTTCTGCTTTTAGACGTGTATTAGATAGACCTCAGATAACACAAAGCTTTGTTAGGCATCATTGCAAAATAAGTTTCTTACCCTAGAACGCTGATCCCTAGAGCTGCCTAGCACAAAGAGGTACTTAACTATATTTCCAGCTGCTGACAGAGCTCTGAAGTAGGAATAAGATTTAAATAAATGAATAAATAAAATAGAAACTTTTTTTTTTTTTTTTACAAAGTCACATATTTATCAGGTGTGGAACATTTGCAGATGGAAGTTTCTAATACAGATAGAGAGGAAACTCATTTTTAAAGAAAAAATTAGGAGACAAACATTCCTTCTGGTGTAGCTAAGATTCAGAACCGGTAGTAAATCTAGCCTCTGGATTTGCTGAAACTTTCATTTGAAATACTTCTTAGTTACATGAAAAATATTGAAAGTCAGAGAAGGTCAGAGTAGTTGAGGTTGGAAAGGATATCTGGAGATCCTCTGGTCCAAACCCCTTGCTCAAAGCAGGGCCAGCTACAGCAGGCTGCTCAGGATATTGCCCAGTCGGGTTTTGAATGACTCCAAGGAAGGAGACTCCACAACCTCTCTGGGAATCCCGTTCCAGTGCTCAACCGCCCTCATAGTGAAGAAGTGTTTTCTTACATTCAAGTGGAGTCTCCTGTGTTTCAACTTCTGCCCATTGCCTCTCAACCTGTGATTGG